AGAGCCTGGCCCAGGTTGCCCAGGGAAGCTGTGGCTGCCCCATCCCTGGCAGTGTTGAAGGGCAGGTTGGATGGGGCTTGGAGCAGCCTGGGATGGTGGGAGGTGTCCCTGCCCATGCAGGGGGTTGGATCTAGATCATCTTTAAGGTCCCTTCCAACTCAAACCAGTCCATGATCCTGTGGTTTCTGATCCTCAGCATCCTTTTCTCCTTATCTCAGAGAAACTTCCAGAGTTTCCTGTGCCGCACGGTCCATCAGGGACAGTGACCAGGGATTGCTGCAGCCACGTATCTTAGCAAAGGGATTCCTGCCTCTCTGGTCAAGTTTGAGTTCATATTTTTGGTGTTAGGTTCTTTTGGTTGTGGGTTGTTTTGGGGGTTTTTTTGTGGGTATGTGTTTGGTTTGTTGTTTTTTTTCATCACAAAGAAACATGAGAAGGTCAAGCTAACATTCTGGTTGTACCTCAAGCACTCAGTTTAGAATTTAGAAATATGAGAATGCTCAGATTACGGTTGTTTTTGAAACTTTGTTTTGGTCCCTTGTATATTTGAGAGATGATTTAAGCCTTGATTCCTGTGTCAGGGAGTGCTCTGACTGGATAGTGCACCATAAATCTTCTGGTGCTTTACAGTTAATAAAATCAGCTTTGTAGCTTTTATATCCCTTTCTTACACAGTTGGAGATTAAAAGGCATGCATCCTTATTCAAGCACAAATAAAAAGATGGTTGAATTGCCTTAATGATCCAAATGCAATTCTCTTCTGTTCTGCTAGGCCTCAGGTCTTGTGTTGATGTTTATAAAGTATTCTGGTACCCTTACAGTTTTTCTCATCTTCTCTTTCCTTAGCACTGCCATGATTGTAGTCCTTCTTTCTCACAACCTCTTCACTTTGTCCTTCACTTTGCAACTTTTGGGGTGTTTTTTCTTTTTTGGGGGGGGAATTGCATTTTTTCATCCCTCATTAGCCTTTTGACTCTCTACGTTGAAATTTCTATAACTTTTTTGCAGTAATTGTGGCACAATCCATTCATAAACTTCTCTTTCCTTGTGAAATACGATCTGACATATTTTTTAATCTGGTAAAAGTTATTTTGCTTTAGGTGCTTACAATATTTTCTGACCTGCAGAGAAGCCCATTAGTTGGCTGGTTTACAAGTTCAGAGTTTTTAAAAAAAATATTCATTAGAGCTTTTTTCTTGTGTTACCTCAACATAATGTGTGTACTGGTTGAAGCACTATCATTTGACAGAGCAAAAATCACAACACCATAGACAAATTTTGGTCAAACATTTCATAATCACAGCTTTGTAAAAAAAAAAAAAAAAGAAGCTACACTGAAAAGTCAGTCATAAAAGTATGAAGTGTCTCCACACTGCCTTCATGTGGAGAAAAATCTAACTTTGTGCCCTATTTTAAGTCCATTTTATAAGTGTCTTCAGTGTAAAGCACTGCCTGTCTTAACATTGAAGGAATTTAAAGTTTTTTCTATAGTGATAAGGGATTGCAAGAATTAGAAATAATATCAACATAATATAAATCTGCAGAAGCTAAATTAGCTTATTAATAATTCTTCTGTAAATATACCTGTAGTTTCTTTCATGAGCTGATGAATATAGGAATGGATGAACAATCATTATGAAAATCATTGCTTTTCTTCAAGCCTTACTGATTGTGTAGACCCTCAGTTATTGCAACTTTATGCTTACATTTAAAAACATCTTCTTTATCGTCTTTTCAGGAGGTATCACTTGTGTTTCTTTCTTGCAATCATTTTTCCTACATAGAACATTTCTTTTTCTGATCATTTTAAGTTCAACCTATTTTCCATCTCCTTGCATTCATCTGCCGTTCTGCCAGCTCACATTCCATTAATCTCAGTGAATCCATGAGAGGGACAAATGTAGAGAGTCCAGACCGTTGTTCAGCAACTTCTTCACTGAACTCTGTAAATAATGCCAAGCTAATGACTTCATGTGTGATAGTTCATTCATAAATGAGTTAGTAAACTACACTTCATTAGTGCACTTTCAGTCACTCATTTCTAGGCATAAGGTTTTGTTTGTTATTTCTTCTAAAATACAGGTAGTGGAATGGTTTAATTTTGTGTTTAATACTTACCTTTCCTACTGTGTGTAGTTCAATTTTCTTATCTTTGCCTGACATGATTTAGTCCCTGGCTGCTTGGGCCTTCTTTCTTAACCATGCTAATGTTCTCCTGCCCTGACCTAAATCCACTTTACCTGTCTGGAATACTTAATTGACCTAATTCCCTCACCGACTTTCTAATATTTTCTCCTATGTAGGAGACAATTTGGTTGTGATCAGCAAATTTTTTTTCTTCAAAGTCCTTTCACCATCAATTTTTTTTTTTTTTCAATCCACATAAACTCATTTGGATTGTGTTTGTTAGTTTACTTTTTGGTGTATCTTTAAAAATGTATTTTCTTTGTCTTTTGTGCATTATTATTTCATAAGTAACTGCAGTCAGCATGGTAAATGTGTATGATGGTAGCAGGAATTATATATTTCTATTAATAATTATATGTTGTTTAAAAGCAGCATATATATCCAGAATATCTCAGAATGATTTATTCTCTGTAATAACCCCTCTCTCCCCTCAGTTTTATTTATTAGGCAACTCCCAACAGCATGACTGGTGCCCCACAATGCAGATGAATATGAACCCTTGCTCATAGGCACTAGAAAATCAAATTTGACATAATATAACCAGTAGGGTAACAAGTGGCATGTACACTTTTATCTTCTCTGCTGTTTGCTGTAATTGAGGTCAGCACAGGGTGTAGATGACTGTGGATGGAAAGAGAAAATAAAAATACTAAAAAGTTATGAGAAGGTGTGGCATAAATTCTAATAGGGAAGATAATGAAGTTAGAAGAGCAAGCTAGTATAAAAATACCTTCACAGTGTTACAGGTCTGTCTTTGTATTTTATCAGTGCGTAACTGGCAGATTATCTAAAACTGTTACATACAAGTACCAGACAGATTTGCTACTTAAGGTGAGGTTAAGAGGATATCTAGGGATTCTGTATAACTGTTGTTGTCCCTTAAATTAAGGTGATAACCCTGTCATCAGCAGATCTTGAGGTAACTGTTGTGTTCTTATGTTTGTCATCCACCTCTAAGAATTCCAGGTCCCTTCCAAAGGCAAGCTTATCCTGGGAGATCAGTGTCTCTCCCGTGTGTCATGAAGATTGTAGGAGAAGCACCAATGCTAAAACAATATTTTCATTGGTGTTTTTTTTTTTTTAATTTTATCACAAGTCTTTATCTACTAGACTGAAAAAAGCCAACATGTGTTTTTGTTTTTTTTTCTGTTCACCAAAGAATAGATCTGAAATTAACTGTTGGAGTAATAGCAAAAAAATAGATCATATTCACAGAATCACAGAATCCTAGGGGTTGGAAGGGACCTCAAAAGCTCACCCAGCCCAACCCCCCTGCCAGAGCAGGGTCACCCAGACCACATCACACAGGAACGTGTTCAGGGGGTTGGAATGTCTCCAGAGAAGGAGACACCACAGCCTCTCTGGGCAGCCTGTTCCAGGGCTCTGTCAGTCTCACAACTGCCCATAAGATAGTGGGTTTCTCTTTCAGATGGGCTTTGAGGTACATCTCAATGCAAAATAAGCTGAACACCCCTAGTTGTCATTTTTCTCAGTGAGTCTTCTGAAAAATTCATTTGAATGAACAAGAAGTTTTTCTTAATGACTGATGGTTTCCCATCACACTTGTGGGCTTGGGAGTTGAGAGGAGTTTTGTTATTGTGAATATTACTGAGTGATTGTACTTGTTTTTTTTTATATGCAGCTCTAAAACATACATGTTTTTTTTCCATTGTCACGACCCAGGCAGGGCAACCCAGGGAGATTCCAAGTGGACCCCCTGGATCTCCTTGGAGAGGAGCCTCAGTGCAGTTGGATCCAACCTTATTCTCAGCCCTGGCTCTTCCAGGGAGAGTGACTAAAATGTCAGGGTCCGAGGAAATGCTCGACCCTCAGATACCCCTTGGTCAGACTAAGGTGAAACAACACCTAAGGTTGCTAGTTGGTGATTAGGTTTAATTAGAACTATAAAGGAAATACTTCAATTGTTATCTCAGGCTGATTATTTGCGTAACTAAAGTCACAACACAGATATGTTCAAACCTGAGAAAAAACTGGGTTAGGCCTTGCATCGCTTAATGATTTAGGAAGAAAGGGAGAGGGAGAGAGAGAGAGAGAGAGAAATAGGAGCAGAAAATTTAGGGAGATTGTAGATAACAGAGTCACCAGGTCCTCCATCGTTGCTATCTAGATGTGCAGGCTGTGGGCCATATGTAGGCCATTACCATTGTCTCCATCCTCTCAAATAGTCCTTTTGAAATGCAAACTAGTTTTTGCTAGAGGCCTTGCAATGGTGTTTTGACATTACTTCCCCCAGTAGGTCCTGAGGCCCAGTCCCTCACATCCATCCAGAGCTGTATTCTGTGAGGTAGATGTTCCCTTGTGTAAAGGAGACAGCCGTGGCCCTTTGTGATCTCTACCCCTAGGAGCTTTGTGAGAATTGTCCTCCAGACAGCTTCCTGAAAATAACTTAATGCTGGAAAATTGGCTAGGCCTTTTCCAGAAAGGGATGCTTTGGCAACCCCTTATGCAGAGAAGAATAAAAGAGTTCCTTTGAAACAATAGCATCTCTCCCTCTTCCACTTGCCCAAGGAAGCCATGACATTTATTAGTGTAGGAGATTTTTGCTGTCAGCAATTTCTGCCATCTGGAGTGCCAGTATTGACAAAAGGGCTGTATGGTTACCAGCATTATTGCTCATGAAGTTCATGAGTAAGGGCTGAAGGAAGAGCAGGACTGAAATCCTGTTCTAGGAACAGAGTATCTTTCCAGGAAATGCTGGGGAGCAGGAAAGCTTCCTTTGGGAAGGCATCAGGGGCTCTTCTGTGTAACCATAAACTCTTGTAAGGTTGCCAGCCCCATTTCCCTCCTTGTCCTGCCTCCCCACTCCCAGCAGCATCCTCAAAGACTTACTAGGAAGACCAGAGTAGAATTTAGGTACAGAAGCCCCCTCTACAGAATCTGAGAAATTACTTTACAAGAAGATTTGCCAGTACCATCTGTCAATAGGATCTTGATCTTTTCAGCAATAAGAATGTTGTAAGTGGAATGGTTGTTAATTTAGTTTACTAAAGGTTACTGGGGACTATTGGCCTGTCTACCAGCAGCTAACCGTACTCATGTTTTGGTGTAAACAAATATGACTGTTCCACTCATGAGATTGTGAAGACAGGATGGCAGGAAAGGGAACAAAACAAAAAAAGAGCAGGATGAAGATTAGTGGGGAGACTCATTGGGAGAATTGCATGTGTAGCTATTGGACATACGTGACGTAAATCTGAGGGAAATCATAGAGGCTAATTGAAATGTGGTAAATTAATTGTCAGATTTTAGTTTAAACATTTAGAGTTGCTTTCAGAAACCAATTTGCTGCCATCTGTGGAGGCATAAAATAGACCTTAGTGCATTGTATTTGAATTTGTCTCCATATTTAAATTACTTATATGACAATTTTTTCTAAGCAAAACATCCACCTATTAAATTTTCAGGATAAGTGTTATATTAGAATGAACTTTTCTCTGCAAGAGACAATATGGAATTAATCTAAGACACTGCGCCTAGTTAAAAATGTGAATGTGTACATTGTGTCTGTATAGAAACATACAGGATGGTGTGACATGCTATCTGTGGGCATTTTTTGAAAAAGGCAAAATTCTTTGCTTATCCAACTAATTTGTTACAAAATGTTTATATAGGGTATTGACATATTGAAGTATGAGTGCTTTCTATGGAAAAATTTCTAAAACTATTCTTAAATTGATAGATTTAGGTAATTCTATGAGGAATTAAAAACAAAAGTATCTTCCAGAAATAATCCTTGATTCAAACTGTTGGGTTTTTTTTACAGTTTCCCTGTATACCATGTAGTTTACAATTTGGCTGCATATAATTAGTGGAATTTAACCATAACTTTTGTTATATTTAGTCCTCAAAACTTTGTTTTTTAATCGATTCAGTTAAGTTCCTGGGCTGTGATTTGGGTTTTAAAGACCACAGTGATAGAAAGAATTAATTCTTTCTGAGCTGAGAAGATAAACTTCCATGTTCCCACAGACAACAGTATTCTAAGATGGAATGTGATCACTTTTTGTCAAGGTGTATGTCTTTTTATCTGTTGGAAGGCTTCTCAAGGAATTCACCTCTCTGATGAGCCATGCTTCACATACCAGCTTAACTATATTTATGGACCTCGTTTAGCCTGTAGTTCCTGTGTCAATACTGGTCTTCACCTAAAAGTCTAAGTAACATAGTTAAGCAACTCTTCCCTTTACAACTAAGTGTGTCAGCTAGTTGTCAGCTCTGTGATGTGCCTGATCTTCTCTCTTGAAGAATTCAATTCAGTATCAAATCCAAGTCATCTGAATAGTAATGCAAAATGCTGCCAGAATGTTACTCTGGTGTACTTTATAATTTTCTCTTCATTTTTAAATTTTATGTTTGGTAAAGCTGGAACTCTTACACATTGTTGCTTAATTTTATTTCTCATTAGTTAATATAGGTAAAATAATCAGTGTGAACATTTCTGCTTATCATTTCAGTTTTAGCAAATACGCTACTTATTTAACTTGTCCAAACATGTTGAAGGTATTGAATTTTAAGGCAAAAACATTCACAGTCTGTAAAGGGAACACTGACAAGTTCAGTCAAAAGGGAAAAGAAGAATAATTTATAAAAGGAACTGTAGATAATGATGCCATCCAGTTGTTTTAAAGTGCATCTACCTCACCTTTAATGAATTAGATTTGTCAACAGCATATGTTTTATGCACTACTTCTAATGAAGTGGCATAGCAGCACTGCAGTGTACTTTGAGGTTTATTCCATCAAAGCTTTTTGCTGTCGTAAAGTAGACCTTTTTAAATAATAGATACTAAAAACTACATTTAAATAACATTAAGGTTGTGACACAAACACCAAATGACAAACTTCAGGCAATTCAAAATTAGGGCTGACAACTTGTCATTAACTTGCATTGTTGCTTTTTAAAATAAAGCACAATTGCGTGATTTAAGGATTGAATGTCAGACTTAACTTTAAATT